AAACCTTCTCAGCTTATCATTTCTATTCTTGAACTACAAGGTTGCCCTATGACTCTGGTCAAGAGACAAAAGATTTATCTATATATATGACAATATAGTCACAGTAAGCAGTAAGAACAAAGAGGCTGATACACTTCAGAGAGAGTAGTCACATTTTGAGCAGGAATCTGACTCTTTAATTTTAGTCTAGATCAACGGACAAATACAAGAGATCACTAGGCCTTGTAAAACTCAATTCTTTATTATCTGTAGCTTGTTCACTTCGTCTGACTGCGTTAAAAACTTCTAGCTCATAGAAATTTACTTTTATGCCCACGAAACTTTGCATGGTACTTTTGCACTAGGCCAGTGACCAAAAATATATTATGATTTTTTTAAAATCTTGATCCTGTTACATTAAAGGTAAATCCTCTTTGGGCCCTATATTATTTATTAAAAACTGCTCTTTGAATGCATACACACGCAATCACATAGATTTAAATAAATGACTTACAGTAACCTTGCCAACAAATTGTTCATTTTGAGACAGCGACACCACCCTCCCTCCCCTCCTCCAACTAGCAGTGACCTTTCTGAATGGGCTTTTAGATTCTGCTGGTCATCCAACTTTTAGATCCGTATGCAAAGATCTGAAAGATTAAATAGCAATCTCTTTCTAGATCTAGACCTTTCTTGTTTTAACCGTGGTCAGTTAAAAGGGTTAAGTGAACAAACTAGATATCTACATCAGTAGATCTAGATACTCTGACTCTGTGTGGCAAAGTATTTCAGTTTTCAAAGCAATACTGTCCTAGTCCTATAGATTCACATGACTACGTTCACGGCGTCGTGAACTTAGTTTGCAGGCTACGTTCAAGGCACACTGAATCATCCACCATCATTGGCACAGAGGCACACAACTGAAACGCTCCGATCGCTCAAAATCAAAGTGAATGGAAACAGTACAGGAATACTCGCGAGAAAAATAATGTAGCGGTGGTTCAAATGCAACAGAGTTTACGGAGAGCTAAGGCGAGCAAAACAAAACAGCCTCGGCTCGCTTGCTCAGTACGGGAACACGACTTCGATCCTCTTCCCGTGTGCAGACCCGGCAACACTTGACAATTTGAAAATAAAAGTCATTTGAAGAAACAAAGGAGAACAAGCCAAGGCGGGAAGAGGGGTGAAAAACAGATGAAAAAAAGAAGCAAAAGCCTCAAAAGGGAAAAGGGAAAAGGGAAGGGGGCGAATTGAGCAAGATCGTTCTTTAAAGGCTATTGTTAGGGGACCGTTCGACCCAATAGTGCTTGGCGCTAGGGGACCATACGCCCCCATAGTGCTTGGCACTAATGGACCGTACACCCTACCTGCGCTAAACGCCTGGTGTTAAGGGACCGTACGCAGATGTGCATGCATCCGCACTTTGCAAAAATACTGGAGGAAAACGGCCAGTTTAACGAAGCTCCTGGCGTTAGGAGTTCTTACAAAGAATGTTTAAAATGTCTGAATACGATTGTGGGGTACCGTATCCAGTGGCGGTGGGTGTGCCAAAATTTGAATTTTTCTCACGTTGTTGTTGTTGTTAAGTGTCAATAAAAGACATCAAAGAGAGACAGAGAGAGAGGAGGGGGGGGGGTGAGAAAGAGAGAGAAGGAGAGAGAGAGAGTGAAAGAGAGAGAGAGAGAGAGAGAGAGAGAGAGAGAGAGAGAGAGAGAGAGAGAGAGAGAGAGAGAGAGAGAGAGAGAGATGGAAAGAGTTGGCGAAGGGAATGTTGGGGCGAACGATGGGGTCAGCAGGGTATAATTATGCTGTAAGATTGAGAAGAGATCATTAATCATGTGACGCCTTGTGTGGAATAAGGGTTAATAGTACTTGTAAATTAAATCCATAGTATAGCAACACTTTCATTTTCCTTTCTTTTCTTGTTATTGTTATGTCACTGAATGTAAGTAATTGATCTTGCGTCTTGCACGTAATCAAGACTAAGTGTGTGCCCAGGCATGTTCTGCATGAAGAAATGAGTAAAAATGTCCAGCATCATTGAATCGGGCTTATTTATTTTAGTGTGTCGCAAAGCAGAAAAATTAAATCACGTCTCTACGCAGATTACACCTGAGCACACACACACTATTACTCTACTCATTTTTCTCCAAAACATTCCCTTTGTGTACACTTGTTCATCTCTCTCTCTCTCTCTCTCACACACACACACACACATATACACACACACACCCTCTCTATCTCTCTCTCTCTCACACACACACACACTTTGTCAAATTCTCTCTCTCTCTCTATCGCTCTCTCTCTCTCTCTCTCTCTGTCTCCCTCCTCTTTCTCTCTCTCTCTCCCTCTTTCTTACTTTCTTTCTTTCTTTCTGTTCTTCCACACACACACACACACCCTCTCTCTCTCTCTCTCTGTGTCTCTCCCTCTCTCTTACACACACAAACACACACACACACGCTCACACACACACACACACATTGTCTCTCTCTCTCTCTCTTCCCCCTCTTTCTTACTTACTTTCTTTCTTTCTTTCTCTCTTTCTTTCTGTCTGTTTTTCACACACACACAAACACACACACTCTCTCTCTCTCTCTCTCTCTCTCTCTCTCTCTCTCTCTCTCTCTCTCTCTCTCTCTCTCTCTCTCTCTCTGATGTCTTTTATTGACACTTAACAACAACGTGGGTGCAGACGAGTGAAAATTTCAAATTTTGGTTCACCCACCGCCACTGGATACCCCAAAATCGTATTCAGACATTTTAATTAAGAAAGAGGCTAGCCGTACTTAATGACGGCTAGACTGGCAGTCTAGCCGTACTTAAGTACGCCTAGACTCGCAGTCTAGCCGTACTTATTCTTAATATGATGGCTAGACTGACCATTTACAAAAAAATAGGCCTACTGAATTGTAAATATATACATTTTTAGTTTTAGTGTTTTCTAATGTTAATAGGGCCTTTATAAGTACGGCTAGACTGGCAGTCTAGCCATACTTTTAAGTACGGGTAGACTTCTTGTCTAGCCGTACTTAAATACAGGTAGACAGCCAGGCTAGCCGTACTTTTAAGTACGGGTAGACTTCTTGTCTAGCCGTACTTAAATACAGGTAGACAGCCAGGCTAGCCGTACTTAATATTGATGGCTGAATTGCAATGCCTAAAGTATTTTCAGACAAAAGCAAAAGGTGCCTTACTGACTTGCATGTATTTGAACCTGAATAATTACTAGATCTAGATCTAATGAGACCTGTCCTGTGTACTTAACAGGCTTGAGTCGATAGAGCCAAACAGAGATAAGTACGGCTAGCCACTTCGTTTAAATAAACACTCTCCTAGTATTCCTTCCTAACGCTAGGAGCTTCGTTAAACTGGCCGTTTCCCTCTAGTATTTTTGCAAAGTCCAGATGCATGCACATCTGCGTACGGTCGCTTTAACACCAAGCCTTAGCCTGTCCCCGCGGTTTTATGAACACAAACAAAATAATTCTGAAATTATTGCAAACTGAACCCAGTGAAATTATGCGATTCTGTTAATTTTAACAAAGAATGATAAAGAAAAATAAGGCCGTCGTTATTCGGACTCGAGTCCGAATAACATTTTTTCATATTCGGACTCGAGTCCGAATAAAAAAATGTCTTATTCGGACTCGAGTCCGAATATGAAAAAATGTTCGGATTCGGGTCCGAAAAAAAGGAAGTGTCTTCGTTCTATAGATCTAACGTTCAGTGCTTCCAATTTTCCGCCATTTTTTAGTTTCCCCCACACCTTTTCTGCCGATCCGATGCCCGCCGCCTCATTGATACGCTGTTTCCCACTTTCTTTGTTGTAGAAAAAGGTAAAATTGAAGATTAGCAGACCACCTGGCACCTGCATATTATGAGCTGTGTAAAAAAAAAAAAGACCAATTCGTTCAAATACACAAGCCTGTGTCATCTCGATTGTTTACCAAGAAAAAGTTGTGTTGCTGTGTAGAGCCAGCTGAGCATACGGCAACTTTTGATTCCATAGACCAGCGCACAATTCATTACGTAGATCTACGTCAAGATAAGCTTATTATTGTAATAATGATCAGTTGCCAGGGGGAAAAAGACTGACGCGTATGCGACGTTCAACGCCCGGACCGATAGTGCCCCCCCCTCCCTGACACGCACACAGCCACACGTGTGCAGGCCGCCCATCCGACCCCGACACACGCTAACGAGCCATCTTTAATTGCTTCTGATGATCTCTTGACAAATAAACATTTAAATTAGAAGCGCTATAACTTTTCAAGCCGGCCTCAAATTCATCATAAGATAACAACTCGGCTCCTGCACAAAACGCCTTTTTGCCCGAGGTAATCCCGATCTCTACCCAGCCTGAGGCGAGTCACGAGTGAGGCAGGACAGGAAGCCGGAGTCACGAGTCACGAGTCACAGGAAGTCGGAAGTCGGAAGTGATGTCATGCTGGACAAGAATCAGAGTCTGAATAACATTTTTTCATATTCGGACTCGAGTCCGAATAATCACTTCGGAAAAATAATCAGGAATTAAAAACGATCAAATTTTGCTAAATTATGCGGGGTGCATAAAACTACAGGGACAGCTTAGCGCAGGTAGGGCGTAGGCCTACGGCCCCCAAGCGCCAAAAGCACTATTGGCATTGGGGCGTACGGTCCCCTAGCGCCAAGCACTACTATAGTGCGTACAGTCCCCTAGCGCCAAGCACTATTGGGGCGTATGGTCCCCTAGATTCTAGATCAGAATCTAGATCTAGAAATCTAGAGTAGATCTAAATAGTAAAATCTAGATCTAGATCTAGATTCTAGATCAGAATCTAGATCTAGACTAGATCTAGATCTAGATCTTGGCTAGATATCTAGTGTGACTCTCCATAGAAATGAAGCAGAAACGAATAATCTAACGAAATCCTAGATCTAGATATCTGATCTATAGATTCTACTTCTCTAGATCTCTAGAGTCTAGAAGATTTAGAAGACCTGTTTGCACAAATAGCAACCATAAAAAGTACATTTACCTTGAGTTATAGATCTAGGCCTAGAGCCTTGCTTTATCCTTCCTCGGTGACAATGCAAAGCTAAAAGTAACAATCGTCGTTTAAGTCCAGAACAGTGTTTTAAATACGCCAACTTGGCCCAAGGGGATAGATCTGGCGTTTCACTCGCTAGGAAAACCAAAACACACGAAACGAAATTGACCCGGAAGTTCAAAATCTAGGATTGGAGAATGAATGAATGAGCTAGCCCCTACAGCGTTTTTATTTTCGAATTCTACTTTTCGAATGTACTTTTCTGCCTTGTAATAATTTCTGTAGAATAGATATCTCTGGTCTTCATTCACCACTTCATTGTACCAGAGAGTCTGTAGCCCATACAAGCGAAAAGCTCTCTATAATTGTAATACTGTACGTTATGTAAATTGCTGAGGCTTCAGTTTCTCAATCGAGAAATTGTCAATTGCAATTTTTTTTATAAATGCTCTACTGTAGATCAAGTTTCTAGAATCTAGTTAATTATTGGTTCTGTAACACACGCGCAAAAATGTTTTCGCAGTAAACTAGATATCTATTCTGGCCAAGAAGAAGAAGAAGTGAAGGAATAAGGAGGAGGAACCGGGAATTGGTTAGAAGAAGGTGAAGAAGAAGAGGAGGACGGGGAGAAGGAAAGGAATTACTAGGGGGAGGGGGGCTTCAGGGCCTTTTTCACCCGATAAAACAGGACCGGGGAGATTCCATTTCCTTGGAACATAGCAAGCTTGAAGGGCTATGAAATCTTTGTTCTAAGTGCGTCAACAACATTGCACTATCATATCTTTGTGACATGATCATCGAATATATACCATCTCGGCCTTTAAGATCGGCGACGAAAAGACTTTTTAGACTTGTCCAAAGTTAAAGTCAGCAGAGACTCGGAGGGAGAACTTTTTCACACCACGACCCCTCCCCGTTGAAACTCTTTACCGGCTCATCTTCATCTAGGGGAGTCCACCACTTTATCAAAATTTAAATCGTTTCAGTCCAGCTTCAATCTGTAATTTCCGACATTCTCAATACAAATACAATTATTGTTATT